TGGTAATATATTGGTGTCACTGTAGAGTGCGCTTTGAGATTTCACTATGGGCTCTCAGAAGTAGTGACAATCATTTTTCAGTATATTTAAACATTTAATAGACGAGTGATTGATTAAATAATCACATATTAATGGCTTATGAAAAAAATTATTAGTTGCAGCTCTGTGTGCTGTTTGGATGTTTTAACGCCATTATAGCTTGCCCCTGTGATTCCACTCAGTAGGGGCCTGTGCTGCACATGACGTTGTAACGTTGAGTTTTAAAAGGTCTTGCAGGTGTAGTGCTTGTTTGTGGACCTGCTGAAATCAGACTAGCCATTACAGCGTATCCTCATATTGTGTTTGTTCTAAAATGGTCTTCGTTTTCATTTCATTGCCTTTATAAAACTTAAAATTATTGACAGTAGGTCTGGAAACAAAGTGAATTGAACAAGTAACCACTGGTGACAACAAGTACTCTATTACTCTGTTAGACTATGTGAAGATGGCCCTGTTTACTATGTACTGCTTGTTTCATTCAGCAGGTGCTGTTCAGATTGAATAACTGTGACTGAGACTTGAGTTGGCCTAGAGAGAAATCCACTGTTCCCCTCCCCAACCTCCTGTTCCTGACCCTCTCTGAAACACATCTCTCACCATGAATGAAGTTAATATAGTCAGAGAGGGCTGGCTTCACAAAAGAGGTAAGGAGCATGAGAATTAGTGCTTTTTAGCTCTACTTGAACATCGAGAATTGTTCACTCTACATGTCAAAGGGTTCATCTTAAAATTGCAGTATACTCAAAATTTTCTGACCTAGGTGAATACATCAAAACATGGAGGCCAAGGTATTTCATCCTGAAGAGTGACGGTTCCTTTATTGGTTACAAGGAGAAACCCGATCTGAATGACCAGACGTCACCACCACTCAACAACTTCTCAGTGGCAGGTCAGTCCTCCAGATGGTGAAATTGAACAATGGATGTTTTTAAGGTTGTTGCCATACCAGAATTTTACACTTTGATGCAATGCTAGTATAAAGAAAATGATACCTGATGGCTCACACACAGTCCTGGTACAGAAAGTCACTGAGGGCCACATTTTGAGGGCCAGTTGCAGTGCTTACCCTATTACTAATGGCATTTTTTAACTGATCGTCTGCACTTTGCACTGTATTATCTAAGTAAAATAGTAAAGGAAAGTATTGGATCGGCAGATACTCTTTTAAATGACTCAGATCGGGGGCTAAAAAAAATTGATTGTGACATCACTACCTAGTCTCATTCTAGTTGCTTCTTTCTTATGTCACCATTGTACTTCTACTTAATTCTCCACCTTATTTTAATGTTTGCTAATATATGACCTCACTCATCCCTACACCCCTGTCTTTTGCTGCACACACCCCACTTGGAATTTATTCACTGTGATTCCTTTGTTAGTGTTATGTTAGTCATATTTGAAGTGAGTGAACCTATTGTAACGTCACCCATTGGTTTGGTTTGTACTGTTTTGAATCCTCAAGTTTGGAATTATGGCCATTGCTGTGTTGGTTTTTCATAGCCGGCAGGTGAGCTGCTCTCATTGGCTGTGCCTAGTTTTGATTAGTCTGTAGCAGGAAACAATGGCAGCTCGCCTGGTCACACACAGTCTTGTATATCAGATAAACAGTACTCTAAAATATGCTTGAGAAAAGATTTGAGGACAGAAATAGGCAACGCAATAACAGAATGTTGATTCATATTTGATCAGCACTGCCTAGTTTGACAGTTTGATCTGACTTTCATGCGTTGCACTGTGTGGACTAACTGAGAATGACCTGTCAATCACAAGGTAGCCACGCCCTAAAGCGTACCCTGCTTTATCGCCTATTTTACTCTATGTAGCACCATCATTTGCTAAATGAACATCATGCTGTATGGAAGAAGACTGCAACTAGAGATTGAGACCA